CCCCCCCACCCTGGGCCGGGATATCGGAGGGGAGCAGAGCAGCTCCCGCACCCAGAGGTGCTCGTCGGTGCCCGGGGCTCCGCTCACTTCTTCCCTGCAGCGGGCGCCGGCTCCGGGGCTTTGCCCTCCTTGCTGGAGGGGGTCTCGGCCTTGGGGGGCTCTTTACTGGCTTTGGGCTCATCTTTGGGTTTTGCTTTAGCTTTGGGCTCCTCGGCCTTTGGCTTCTCCGCCTCCTTCGCAGCCGCTTTGCTGACCTCCTGCTGAGGTTTTGGTGGAACCTCCTTCTCAGCTTTTCCTTCTTCCGCAGGTTTGGGGCCTGGCTTGGGGGTCTCCTTCACCTGTGGGGCTGGAGCCTCGGGCCCAGCAGCCGCCTTCTCTTTGGGCTTCTCCTCCACCTTGGCTGGGACCTCCTTCTTGGGAGTTTCCTCTTTCTTGCCCTCCTCAGCTTTGGGCTTGGGGGGAGCCTTCACCTCCTTGGGCTGCTCTTCCTTCGCAGGGGCTTTCGGCTCCTTTGGAGGGGAGGGCGTGGGCTCCTTGGCTGGGGCCGCTTCCTTCTGCGGGGACTTGGCCTCCTTCACAGGGGATTTGACTTTCTCGGGGGACTTCACAGCCGGGGTCTTGGCCTCCTCCTTTGAGGGAGTTGGGGGTTTCTCTGGGGATTTGACAGATGGAGTTTTGACCTCGTCTTTTGAGGGGAGTGCAGGTTTCTCTGGGGACTTGACAGTTGGGCTCTTGGCCTCTTCTTTAGAGGGGGTTGAGGGTTTCTCTGGAGACTTCACCGCTGTGGTCTTGGCCTCCTCCTTCGAGGGGGTCGGGGGTTGCTCTGGGGATTTCACAGCTGGGCTCTTGGCCTCCTCCTTTGAGGGGGTTGGGGGCTTTTCAGGGGATTTGACAACCGGGGTCTTGGCCTCCTCCTTGGAGGGGCTTGCAGGTTTCTCTGGGGACTTCACCACTGGGGTCTTGGCCTCCTCCTTTGAGGGGGTTGGGGGCTTTTCTGGGGACTTGACAGTTGGGGTCTTGGCCTCTTTAGAGGGGGTTGAGGGTTTCTCTGGAGACTTCACCACTGGGGTCTTGGCCTCCTCCTTTGAGGGGGTTGGGGGCTTTTCAGGGGATTTGACAACCGGGGTCTTGGCCTCCTCCTTGGAGGGGCTTGCAGGTTTCTCTGGGGACTTCACCGCTGGGGTCTTGGCCTCCTCTTTGGAGGGAGTCGGGGGTTTCTCTGGGGACTTGACAGCTGGGCTCTTGGCCTCCTCCTTTGAGGGGGTTGGGGGCTTTTCAGGGGATTTGACAACCGGGGTCTTGGCCTCCTCCTTGGAGGGGCTTGCAGGTTTCTCTGGGGACTTCACCGCTGGGGTCTTGGCCTCCTCTTTGGAGGGAGTCGGGGGTTTCTCTGGGGACTTGACAGCTGGGCTCTTGGCCTCCTCCTTTGAGGGGGTTGGGGGCTTTTCAGGGGATTTGACAACCGGGGTCTTGGCCTCCTCCTTGGAGGGGCTTGCAGGTTTCTCTGGGGACTTCACCGCTGGGGTCTTGGCCTCCTCTTTGGAGGGAGTCGGGGGTTTCTCTGGGGACTTGACAGCTGGGGTCTTGGCCTCTTTAGAGGGGGTTGAGGGGTTCTCTGGAGACGTCACCACTGGGGTCTTGGCCTCCTCTTTGGAGGGAGTCGGGGGTTTCTCTGGGGACTTGACAGCTGGGCTCTTGGCCTCCTCCTTTGAGGGGGTTGGGGGCTTTTCTGGGGATTTGACAGCCGGGGTTTTGGCTTCCTCCTTTGAGGGCGTTGGGGGTTTCTCTGGGGACTTGACAGCTGGGCTCTTGGCCTCCTCCTTTGAGGGAGTTGGTGGCTTTTCAGGAGATTTGACTGTTGGGGGTTTGGCTTCTTCCTTTGAGGGGGTTGGTGGCTTTTCTGGGGACTTGACAGCTGGGCTCTTGGCCTCCTCCTTTGAAGGGGATTCTGGTTTCTCTGGAGTCTTGGCCTCGTCTTTTGCAGGAGACTTGGCCTCCTCTTCTTCAACTTCTGCTTCAGCTTTCCCTTCCTCCTCCTCTTCAGCTTTCTCTTCTTCAGCCTCTTTCTCAGCCTCATCCTCCTCTGTGACCTCCTCGGTCACCTGGATTTCTTCTGTCTGCTCTTCCACTATCACTGTCTCCTTCTCAGATTTTTCCACCACCTTGATCTTCTCCTCACTCTTCACCTTGATGTTGGTGGTGATGCTGGGAGCCTTGGGGACCACCTCAGGGAAGGAGATCATCCCATAACCAGTCTCGATCCGATATTCCTCCCCTTCCAAGAGCTTTCTGCCAGGAAGAGACCAGAGCAGGGCAGTCAGTGATTGCTTCTCCCCCAGTTCTGCTCCTCCCATGAGCAGGAGCTTCCAGCCATGCTCTATCTCCCTGCTCGCCCTGCTTTCGAGGTGCTGGCTGACCCTCCTGCTCCTACACCCTGGGCTGGGCAGGTTTCCTCACCCTTCCCTCACAGAGATGCGAGGGCTGGGTCACCCCGTTGGCCACCGTGGGCTTGGAGGATGGAAATGTCTCTTGCCAAGAAGGGCCCTGGTGTTAGTGAGGGCCCTCGTGGAGCATCTACTGAGAGACCAGCCTGGATGAGACCCTCCACCCACCCACCCCATACCTATAGGCAGCGATTTCAATGTCCAGGGCCATTTTGACGTTGAGCAGATCTTGGTACTCCCGGAGCTGAGCTGCCATCTCCCACTTGGTGTTCCTCAGCTCACTGTCAAGCTGCTGGATGGTTTCCTGTGGCAGACAGAGCAACTGGTAACCTGTGGGGCCAGTCCCCAGGAGCAGGGGGACACCAAGCACCACTGAACAGTCCCCTGGTCTCCAAGGGGGGTCAGACTACTCACCTAGTCCTGGGGTGCCCTCCCTCTCCTGCCACAGACAGGAGAGGGCTCATCCAGAGGCTCTTTCAGTGTGTCCAGTTGCCTTGGGGAACTGGCAAAGCGCTGCACCACCGCAGAAGGGAGCCGCGCTGCTGCCAGCCAAGCCCCCAACCAGCCCCCTCCCAGAGCTCCCTCCAGCAGGGCCAAGCTGTGGGAACATTTCTAGGACTTGGAATGAGTCTGCTGGCCACCCCAGCCTGAGGCTGATGGGACATTACCCTGGGGACAGTGTTTCAGCTCTGCGTAACAAGATGTGGCCTGAGCGTGGTTCAGTGGCGTTTGTGACCAGTGCCATCGGTAGCTCAATATGTGGGACAGCTCTGTCATGGGTGAGGGACACAACCGTCTGGATGCAACCTCAGGCTCTGGAACACCAGGAGCTGGGGAAGGATGGCTCTGGACACAACCCCGGGTATTTGCATCTCTGAAGCCATAGCACCTGTGCTACTCCTCTCCGGCAGCTAGGTGGTTCCTCCCCAGCGAATGACGGATCTGGACTGCTGCGCCACGTTACCTGGTAGGACAGGACATCTGCATGATGGCGCTCCTCCGAGTCCTGTCTCTGCCTCTCCAGTGACTCCTGGGTCCCTTTGAGGGCTTCGAGCTCGGTGGTCTTGGTCTGGAGCTGGCGGCGGTACTCGCAGATCTCCTCCTGGGCCAAGCGCATGGCATCCGTGTTCACCTTGGCAACCTCCGACAGCTTGTCCAGCCTCACTGCAACAAGAAGAAGCCGCAGTGAGGGAGGAGGGCAGGCAGCAGTCTCCCCTTCCCGGGGACCTCCCATCCTTACAGGCTGCCCGTCCCCCGCCTGCGTGTCCTCTGCAGAGACAGGCCTGGCCGGGGCTCCCTGCGGGTGCTGGTTTCACCCGCCCTCGCTCTGCCTGTGCTCGCGCTGCACCGGGGAGCTGAAGGGGCCGGAGCAGGAGGGGCTGGGAGGCTGCTTTTGCCATCCTGGACTTTATCCACGCGAACCCACGCTGCAAACCTCCCTCTCCCCTTCAGCTTCC